CCGCAAGGACGTCACACTCCGACTTCAGCGAACCGAGACGCTTCGCGTGGACGGGGACTAACATTCATCCGTAGACTCCGGAAAGGAAGCTGCTCGCCGGTGCTCGTGCCAAATCGCTTCAAGTATCAGTTCCGATTTACGGAGAATAATTCATGCCGAGCAGCTTGCAACTACAAAACAGTTGCAAGAAATAACGTGAACGAGAGATAGCGCGATGGGGGGAGGAAGCGGCGAAAGACGGAGAAGGAGGGTGAAGGAGGGTGAAGGAGGGCGCGCCAGAGGGTTTATGCCAGAGGGCTGTGATGCTGCGGGAGCTGCGTTTTCACTTTCATGTCCCAAAGCCCTCCGGCTGTTTTAATTGAATTTTCAACACCGGCATTTCATCTCGGCGAAATGAAGACAAAAGCCGGGTTTTTTTTAATTATCGCATCTCTCGTCGACGCGTTACACTTTGAGACGTTTTGGATTTCTGCCCTCGTACTTTGCACACTCGCCTCTGGTTTTCGGCCTGCTGGACCCTCGCATTCCTTTGCTTGTTACCTTGCACTCTCTGCGGGAGTATATCCATACAATGCTCATACGTGGATTCCCTGAAGGAATAAAAGAAACCTAAACCCGAGTTGCGCGGCTATTTCGTCATGTCCTGCAGGCAGCTCTCTTTCTTCCTGTGGGAGAGGAAAGTGGCCCGCGCGGACGCGAGTCCCAAATTAAATAAACCATTCATAAATTCGCGATGGCTCGCAGAGTCTCGGTGGTGGCCGCCATGGAAAAGTACATGCGCATATTTTAATTCCATCGCTTTATCCTCTCGGTATAATATCTTCCCTTTTTGTCTTTAACATTCTTATCCTCCTGTCCCGCCTTATCCACCCTCTCCGCACGGTAATATCCGGCTATTTTTCTTTCATAAACCGTGAAGTTTATGGTAAATTGGGCAAAGAATTTTTACCCTTCGTTTGTTAGTCGCTTTTCTTTCAGACTTCCTCCCTCTTCCTCCCGCCGTAGTCGTAGCCCTTTCTTCCTCTTCCTCCATCTCTGTTGCCAGGTTGTAGCGACTCTCGTGAACTTTCTCCCAGCTACCACCGCGATTCTTCCCATTCTACCCATTTTACCCATTTTACCCATTTTATCCTCTCTTGGGGAAAAAAATTCTCGCTCTCGCTCTCGTTATCCCAATCCCATCCGTGCTCCCAGCATCCAGACATCCACAGCGCCTCTCATCACCAGGAAGCCAGCTCGCGATCTCGCGTAATTAATAACGAGACATCCCGTACATAATTTAGGGCGCAACCCTATCCGTCGAGGGCGCCCGCTCCGACAACCTCGTAAGCCTGACGGGCTGCGTCGGCACCGTCGCCGTCAGAATAGTCGACGGCATTTTGAAACTTTGCTACCTTCATTTGTTTCCCGTTTAGTTTGACTTGCCAGCCAGCCAGCTGCCTCGAGAAACCCTTGCTCGGTGATGACACGAAGACACCTTGTATGTACATCTTTGACAATTCCTCCTGCCGACCTTTGGCAGCTGGCACCAGCCTACTGAGACTTCTCTTCCACGCAGCACTTGCGAGCACTTGCGAGCACTTGCGAGCACTTCGCCAACGGCCTGTAGCTCATTGAAAAAAAGTGCCGCGCCGAAGGTGATTGATGCCATCGAAAAGTGGGTCCTCTAATTCACTTGGAGTCTCGTGGATTTGCGACACGCGACCGTTTGTTCGGCGGGGTCGCCCTTCTCAACCTCTCCGGCCGTGGGTCGCTCTGGGAAAACCGAGGGTTCGGAACGTCCTCGAAGGGACGAACTTCAGTGCTCCAGGGAATGTGGGCATATCGCGCCTAGACGGAATTTAGAAAGAAGCCCGATCCGAGGATGAGCAAGCAGATATTGTCGAGTGCGTGTGCCAGTGTGCCAGTGTGCCTGTGCACTGTGCACTCCTCTGTTAAGGGAGAACGATGAGCGAGAGGAGCGAGAGGAGCGAGAGGAGCGAGAGGAACGCTGGCAGCCCCTTCGCTAAATCCCATGATCCATCCTTCTTCTATGCGTGCTCCGAGGTCTTAAGGTTATGATCGGCGTCCCTATATGATACCAGTTTAATATTTATAAAGGTCACGTATAGTCAGTTGCAGACTGCGTTCGCTGCCGGTAAAATCCGAGGAGGCTCAGCATGCTCCTCTTTTCGTGATGGCTCCTTTAGCGGCTTCCGGAGGCAAGAAAGAAAATCGGCTCAATCACTGCGGAAGAGAGAGAGAGAGAGAGAGAGAGAGAGAGAGAGGGCTCCCCTTTCTTCTTCTTTCTCTTTTCGGTGGGAAGTCGCGAGCGGCAATATTGCTTTTAAAATTAATGTCATCTATTGAGCCGCACACGCCCCGCCGGAGTTCCAATGGTTGAAGCTCGACGCTAGAATGAATCCCAATCGGTCGCCCGTATTTTCGCACGACGGCGCCCTAAAAAGATTCGCATCATTTGGCAAAGTGCTACTTTGTGTCACATAAAAAAACGCTCGACGTCTTTCAACTCGCCTGCAGTCAGCAGTTTCGACTTTCACCCTTCGCTACGACTTGACTGCCCCCTC